AGGTGGTTTGTTTCTAAAAAAGCAGTTATTTTAAGAATAGGAATAAACAAAAGAAATATAAACTGTCGACCAAAATATATATGATTAAGAAGCATTATGTACCGAGCAACAATATACTCAATAGCTCTGTTTTAAACATTGTGTTTAAAAATGGTATGTTTTGATTTGTCAACCAGTCTTGGATATTTTTTTTTTGTCCATGCATTGTTGGGCACTTTGTTCAATATCATGCTGTGATAAGGGGCGTTATCCAGTATAATCATAGATGGACTCTCCAATTTTTCTAATAACTGATGTTGAAACCATTTCAAAAAATTGTCCTGGTTCATCTCTCCATGGTAATCGCTCAATTTTGTTTTCGAAGAAAATATCGCTTCACTACCCTCAATAAACCCATTTTCATTTCCAGCATGTAATATAATGTATCTAAAATATATTAGTTTTAAATTTTATAGTGCAAATTGTGTAAAAGTACATACCTTTTACCATCTGTTTTAATAGCTTTCACGCTTTTTTGGTTTCCATTTTGCCAAGAGCGACCTATGGTCCCATTTTGAAATATCCAAGTTTCATCGAGGAAGACAAACTGGTATAAGGCCTCAACCTTGGCTTGATTGTATTGCCTTAGAAATTCCACCCTTTTCAAAGCTATACTTGGTAGTTCCATGAGCCCTCGTCGCGGATTGTCCTTAAGCCACTTAAATCCAAGATCTCTAAGCAACCGCCTTAAAGACGTGGCACTACCATCAAATAATGCCCTATCTCTTAATCGAGACCATAAAGTTTGTATCGTAACTTGTTCTTCTGAAACCATGTGTAATATGACATTATAATTTAGTTAACAAATTAATGCAAATTTCTGATAAGTTATTATAATAAGATCTTACTTTTGTGATACATATTATAGATCACTTCTCGAATGGCACTTGTATCCAATGTCGCTGTGTTGGTTACACGTTTAATATAACTCCGCTTTTTCTTGGGCGATTCTAAATTTGCATCACTTTTCACACCCTCGGAAATACGACTAACTGTCCTTAAACTAATTTTTAAAGCAGCAGCAACACGCTACAAAAAATGAAATAAAATTTCACTATTATTAATATACATTACATATAATTATTAGTAACCTACCTCTTGAACAGCATTTAAAGGCAACAAAGGCCCGTTGTTGTCCCTTTCTTGCTCAAAGTAGTGCATTAACGAGGCCACGAGTTCCTTACACCGACTATTTAACTGTTTGGGCATCTTTATATACCAAAATTGCCTTTATCTACTCGTAAAATGAATAATTTTGTTTTGAAACAAACAGTTGTTGATTTACAGTATGCGGGGCCAAAGGATTTATAAAGATTTGAAATGCCACAAATTGATTCAGTGTCAAAATTAATACAAATGTCAGTTCCCAGTTTAAATAAGTTTCAAGGTGACAATGTGTCAACGCTGCGAAATCGGTTTAGTGCGTTTACATGTCGATAAGTGATTGGAGCGTTTGCAAAACATTTTATTTCGCATAATGCGTCTAAATTTATCAGAAAGCAACTTATGTGATATTTTAATAACAATGTTTATATGACTATTAACCATAATAAGAGAGTAATGACCATTTTACAATTTATATACCGTATCACATTAATATGAAACTGCAATAGAGCAATTGTTTGTGATAGAAACCTAGGCATTAGGTCGGGGAATTTTTATCGTGATGACGTGCACGCCACTTTGTTTGGCGTTGACTATACACATAATCATCCAGATCCATATTGCTATTCAACCAACTTTCTTCTCAGAGATAAAAACTACAGATAAAGACCATTTGGCCTCAAAAAACATATGCAACCAATAATGCGTGTAGTTGAGTGATTCCTCCTTAGATGGACGTTCACAACGATCCTAGTGAGCAAACGTGCAATGACTGTTTGCGCCCTAATAACTACCTGGTTTGCAAGCTGACATTTTATTGGTTTTATTTGCCGTTTTATAAGTTTTTCACATGATACCCGTGCCGATGCTTACTGCAAAGTTTCGGGCTCTGTCTTGGTGGCTGTCCATTATTGCCCTTTCCTTCTGCCACAACTGAATACTGGGCCCAAAGTGCCCAATTTTGACTGGAGGTCAAGCGGCTTTTTTTCTTTTTTATAATTGATTAAAAAAGGGGGTGCCAACTGTTTCCCGGATATTATTCAGGCAATTTCTATCAGTATAACCAAATAGAAGGGAATACTGACAGAAACATTTCTTTTTCTTTAATGTAAGCCAGAAATGGTTTCATTAACTTTGTGAACACATGAGGGGCACTATTTACCCTAAACGGTACCGCATTGTATTGGAAGAGCTGTCCCTTGAATATGAATCTGAAATATATTCTATGACTCTCCCTAATGGGTACAAATATCCCTACATATTCCAAATTCAGATTCGTTAAGAAAGTATCTCTACGGAGAAGTCTGATCCCAGTTCAAGAGCCTTCTAACTTAGGTGTTATATCCCTATGAACAGATTAAGTGTCTTGAGATAAGGAATCAAACGAGTAGACCCATCAGACGTGGGAGCAAGAAAAAATTGGAAAGCCGTTTATTTTTAGTTATCTCAACCTTTTTACTGATAGCACCACAGCTAAGCAATTGAGAGACTGTCGAATGTCGGTAGTTCATAGATGGACTAATGGGATTCAGCTATGGCAGAGTGCCGAACCAGTCCTAAAGTTCTATCATTGATGATGATTACTCGTCAGTCTCCCTGCTGATCTACTTACCTCATCAGCAATAATCGGTAACTGATGCAGTCAGTACGTTGTCCGACCTTTTGGGCTTCAGTTACTTCTCATATTTATCTGATTTCTATTTAGAATTGACTTACTTTGTCAGACCTACACCGAAGAGCAAGTTATAAATGGAAGCCTCTGTTAGAGTAGTCCTGAGTTCTTTGCTCAAATGTGAATATCTGCCAGCTTGTGCTCCTCCTCCTTCTTTGAACTTAGAGGAGAGAGTATTGCCACTTGCAGTTAATGAACAACTCACATGCTGCTGTACAGAGACTAAGCGCGCATCCCTGTGTGCGATGATTTCTATTATAGCGGCCGCTGCCTGAGGGTTCATCTTAGGTGGCTAGAATAGAATAGAATTTATTCATCTATCGTCATCACCAAGACCTGCCCTCGAAATGTCAGCACTGGAACAATGCGCGAACATTAATTATACTAAGGTCTCCGCATCATCGTGGTGATGCGTCATCTATTGAAACAGAATACATGGCCTCTAAGACATTACAATCCAGAACGCCCTGCTGTTCGAGTGCCACCTAAGTGAAATGTATCGCTTATCGGGCATAATGATACCTAGTCTACGTTATTTGCTTAAAATTAGTACCTAATTTGGTGGTTTCCTAAATGGTCATGTTCATAGGTACAGTCCTGTTTGATAGTTATCACCAACCAGGTGGAATTTGCTATCACTAGCAAAATCTAAAGCTAGTCTACCATATGTGTACCTAATTTCTATGCGTTATTAATGAAAAATGGTACTTCGACGGTTTCGTAACCTGTCATGTGCATATCATTGACCTGTTCAATGGCTATCCTAAACCATATGGAATTTGCTATCACAAGCAAAATGTAACGCTAGTCTCACATAGATGTACCCAATTTTTATCTCTTATAAATGAAAAATGCTAGATTGTTACATTGCTATCACAAACCAGCTGGAATATGCTATCACAAACAAAATGTGAAGCTAGTATCGCATAGATGAAATCTAATCTCTATCTGTTATTAAAGAAAAATGGTACTTAAGCGACTTCCTAGGCTGTCAACAAGAAGTAAGGTTAGTGATATATAATTTAAGCGAAACAATAATATTTTTGATAGCTTATTATTGAATATTACACCTAAATATTAGCTTATTGCCATCTCAAATGTCTTAACTAAAGCTCTTAGATAGGGTAATTTCGAGCAAGGCGAATAATGCAAAGCTGATACGGTATTCGCCCATAAGCTTACGTTTGTAGTTTGTGAAATAAAAATTGGTATATGGTGCAATTAGAAATTCTCAAAAACTACTTGACCAATCGACTCCAATTTTGTTATCTTTATTTAGAAGTATGAAGCCAACGAACTTGAAGAATTTCAAGTAACTGCGTGAAACTATCCTCGCATTACCAACAAGTGCGAAAACCTGCATCTTGCCTCGCTTTTCAGCCATAACTTTTTTACTATTAGCCGGTCTCGTACTGTGGGTCTCATAAATACGTAAAAATATTATTTGAAGAGTTTTTTCGTTCCTGCCAACACTTCCGATTGAATCCCAAAAACACGTTTTCTCATTCTTTGTTGTCGAATAAAAAGTTTTTCCACAAAAATTGGTATACCCAAATTATGTGTAACCATGATTTGAATACCCCTTGAATAACTTGCATCAATAAAACCAGATCTTACAATTATTTCAGAAACCAGGGGTATTTTCGTCTAATGTGATTAGACTAAATTCAACACACGCTATTTTATTAATTTTGTTTTTACAAATATAAGTATATCTGAAGTAGAGGAATGCACTACACTCTTTCAAAAACTTCATTAATCTTAGGGATATTTCATCTCTTTAAGTGTTTTAACCTCTTTGTATATTCTGATCTATTGTTTAAGATATTTATTTGGTATTTTTGTATTTTCTCGACATTTATTTTTCACATCAAAAAAATGTCGAAACGTCGGCTTTATGAGTAAACGGCATCGACATGCACACCTTGAGCGTTGTATCCCAAAATTCTAAGATTAAGAGAAGATACGTTGTTTATGCAATGAATGTCGATTACGCATTATTATTTAAAGGAAAAGGAATGTATTGAGTTACGAGTTATATACCCAAAAATGAGATTTTGAATTGATCGATTGAAGTTATAATTAGCCTGGCTGGCCTCTCGCATCTTTGGAGCAATTAGGTTTATATGATTTTACTTAAAACAGCATCTGCACGTGTCATCCCTAAACAAGTACCACATTCCAGGTAGCGACCACCACCACGCGAAGGGTGGAGGCAAATCGTACCACTCCGAGCACCACGGAAGCCATGGCGATAAAGGCGACAAGGGATACAAAGGTCATCATCACCATGAAAAGGGACAAAAAGGACATCACAAGAAGGAAAACCACAACAACCACTACGAAGAAAAAGAGGGACATGACAAGGAACACCACCATGACGATGGGTACCACGCTCAACATGAGAAGGGAGAAGAGGGCAAGAAGGGATCTAAGGTAAGATTTTAGAAAAAGTTAACGAAATTGCAAGGTATCACCCAACAGAGTGCTGGTGGTAATAGCGAAACATTTCAAAGTTGTCTGTCCGCTAACCAATTACTCAAGGTAGCTACTGTAACGAGGGCGAAAAAGCTTTAGGGACCTTAAAATCAGTCTAGTGGCGGTGGCGTCATAGGCAAAACAACTAATAGATACTAGGATATTGCTCAATGATCATTTTATTTTGACGACTCAAGGTCAATAATAGTTTTGGAGCTATTTGTAGTGGGGATATGTACTAAATAATGAATTCTGACTCCGAAAACCACAACGCGCTTGTTGATCTACTATTTTTAATATCCGACCGCACTGTTGGTTTAGGCCAGTTTCGGCCCAAAATCAGAGTTTCGGTTTAGTTTCGGTTTCAGTTTCGGATGGTAGACAACTCACTAATTATTGGAGAATTCAAGTTCAGGCTCAATTTCAGACAGAATATTCAAAACTGTTTGTACAAACTAAATTTCTTAAGAAATGTCATAGTTACTAATCTCTTTAAAATAGTTGTTGTTATTGGTCTTTGAATAATTCTTCTAGGAAACCACCATCTATAAGTTCAACGATACCCAAATCATCTTTTAAATATCATCATGGGCATTAAAATCCATTTTTGAAGACTAAAAATGAATTACTTAGGCGATCTTTTAATTTCAAACATTAATCGTTAAACCTAAACACAGTTTACAAAATTTTAAAAGGGGTTTAAGTACTTGTGCAATAGTAGGTAGGTAATCTTCAAATTAATCTAGGTGTCCATCTAAACTAACTTCAAATAGTATTCATGCGACAGGCCATAAGTTGTTTTTGTTTTATTGCCTGTTTTTTTTTTCAAACTTCTGGAAACAAATAGACATTACTTATTTTGTGTTTGAAGAGAAACATGTTGTACTGCTTTATTTTTTTTCTAAATCTTATTAATATTTGATAAAGCCTGATTATTACACATTATAAAGAGTCTGTTTTTTCTTGGAGATATACTACTTTACCTCGCAACACCCCATATCATACTCTTCAGTTGGAAGTTTCGGTTTCGGCTGAAATACTAGTTTCTGTAATTGTAAACCCTAAAATTTTGGAAATTGCATATTTTGCCTTTTGGAAGTTGTATGACATGTACGAAATACCATGACACTCATTTCCATCCATCTGTCCGCTAACATTTTACCTGTATATAACTTGGAAAATATCCCTCGGATTTTGAAATTTTCACAGCAGGTTACGACTATGCCATGGACCAACTGAAAAGCTTTGTAGGTTTTGAAATAAAAAAACGAACTAAAACGAAGAACCAAATATAAAAATAACTCAAAATTAACTTTTTGATGGTTCATATGATTCGGAATATTGTCAGAAAAAACTTTGTAGGGGTAAAAATTGAGGGTGGATGCTGTAGGGGGTGGGAAGGGTGTATCCCAATGTTTCCAACGCCGGTAGTACTATGCACGTATTTAACATATTTCATGCATCATGGATTTTTCCGTACATTTGCTCTTGAAACAATAATAGAGATATATTTTCAATATACGCGTTCCATGCAACTCGGAGAACGTACACTGCACGTTTCGAGGGCTGACCTATATCTAACGATTTGGCCGTTGGTGCAACGCCGTGCTGTTTTGCAAGGAGCGCTGTAGGTTAGTCACAACAACGTTGCCATGTTGCCAGATGGTCGGTAGAGCATTATGGACTATATGTGTGCGCCTATTTGAGTGACTTGATCTATGCAATTCTTTTGTTATACATGTGCGTGGTTAGCTTTCTTTCTAAGACTGGATAGCCTATTCCGAACAACAACTTTTATGAACTTTTATGTCCCGCCTTTGCCTTGGCAAAGCTCATATTTTAACAAATTCCACTAAAACGGCGCTAAGTAAGATCGTTGCTTCTGATAATTTTCGGGCGTAGAAAATAATGTGGATGCGTCACAATTTAAAAAAATGCCTATGCTTGCTTTTAGGACGAAGTGAAAAAAGTCAAATACTTTCGATTCAGATAAATCTCATATCATAGTTACTCAGAAGTTCTAAACCTAGAGCGATCAGATTTTTTTGTAAAATCTTAAAATTATTTTCGCACGTTTCTCAATATTTGAACTGTAAGGTGGTTTGTATATTAAGTGATATTTCCCAATCTAGGGAAACTTGACCTTGACATAAATTCCAGGAAATGTACGTCTGCATGAAGGTGTTGAAATGACCTTGACATCATACTACTTCTTCATACCCACGGCCTTGGTGTAAACATGCAGGTTTCGTCTGTACTCTGACACTTCAGTACATCTGGGTAGTGCTACCTGCCGGAGCTTTTAGATTTGTAATACGTTGCCTAGCCAATTTTATGAGCATATACGAGCATATAGGCACCTTTGAAGTATTAACCTTCTCAAAGTATACATAGAACAAGAGTTGTGATGAATTTTCGTAGATGACGCTACGGTATCGCATTGTATATCTGATAGTTTTTTGGAACAGAGAGTTAGGTTGGCTATTTTCAGATAAAATAAGTTAATCAATGATTACACTCAGCTAACAATTTTTCCTATATGTCAATTTCCTGACAAATTAGAAGATAACTATTGCTTCATCTAACTACTTTTCTAATAGAGTATCTTCAAAAAATATGATATAGGTGTGGGATGAGGGTCAAAGATTTTATAGTGTCTTTCAATTACCATATAAGAATGTTACAGGACCGTTCAGACTAAGCCACCTCGATTATAGGTGTTTTGTCTTTTTTCTGTTCCTTTATGGGGCGACAAACCTTAAGAAACCCAGTACGCTGACTCCTCAAATACGCTAATGTCTACTGAATATAAAAATGAATTTCATGCCAATTTGATGTTAGTGCTATTGTTCGGTTGTCTATTGCACATTTACAAGACTATTTCCTTCAATGTAGTCCTAAAATGTGAGACTGGGGAGGATTGAACCACATCGGTGCTCGGAGGGGAGTGCCAGAGACCCCCTTGTAAATCCTGTGGAACTTAAAATTTTGGGTATTTTTAGGATTTGTCCCCGTCTGGCAAAGTTTGCTGGTTTGCAGATACACTGTCACAAAAAGCTGTCTCTTGCCGATGATTGGCCCTCCTGAGGAAAATTTCTGTGTGCGCCCTTGTTGCCATGTTGAACCTATAGATGGGTCGGTGTATATTAGTGAATAAGCAAGGTTGAATATAATTTCACAATTAATTGATACCTTTTTTCTGCGGAGTATGCTGAGCCTTCCTCATCAAAATCTATGAAGAGAAAGTTCAAATAATACAACAACCTTGGACTCTACTGTTTCAGAAAAGAAAAATCCTAGAATACGATTTTAATTTCAAAAATCAAAGTGCACCCTAAACCACCAGAAATGTGTACCCTAACCTATTCCTCTGTAACTTAAGTAGGAAATAATGGTCCGCGAACTTGTAGAGCGCTTTCAAAACAAAGGTCCGAGAAACTTGGGAATTCTCTCGCGCACATTTGAGAAAATCCTATGTTGTATTAAATTGTCTATCATAAAGTTAGTTGACCTTAACCACAACAAATAGAAATACAATTACATAATTGCATTTCAATATAAAAATAATGATTCAATATAAAAATAATGATTCAATATATTTATGACTAATGGTTTTACTAGGAGATGAATAAAATACCTTTCTAATCATGCAGTGTGGTTTTATGGAATTTAAATGCTCCAGATTATTTCATTGAGCTTTTTTATAAAGCAGCTTGATGCCGCTCAAACTTATAGACCGAGATCCCTAGAAACAAATGTGATGAGTTCATCAAGCAAACGTATTTTTGAGTACATGCTTCGTCGCAGGGTTAGAAATGTTGGCAATAGCTTGCAAACTCCAGGTGCTGTTAGTATACTAAGCTACTGACTAAACTAAAAAATGGCCACAGGCGCACCTAGAAAGTAGGAAAATATTTTTTTTTTTTATACTCCAACTACCACGAAGGCCTAAGGCCTAAGCACCCATTGGGTACCGTGGGGCTATGGGGGATACATGCGAAAGGGGGGACGCCACTCGGACTCTGGCGAGGGAACACGTGTGCATGCAACATGCACACATTATGGCTCCGCCTACGAGAACCGCCGGGTGGTACCTCCGCGTTCGACAGTCAGAGACCATCTACCACCTACGGACAATCACAACATCCATGGCCAAGAGAAACATTTCTCCTGGGACGGGACTCGAACCCGCACAGCGCACGGCGGCTGATCAGGAGACCGAAGAGTCTACTACTGCGGCCACCGCTGCTGCCTAAAACAAACATCCATGGCGAAGGCGAGATTCGAACTCGCGGCCCGGCCGGCCGGCTGATCAGTAGCACGGCACTCTGACCCACGCGGCCAACCGAGGTCCCCAAACTCCCCAGTATTTGGTCAACTTGTCGCCTGATATGCCGGGTAGTTTTTTTTTCGTGGTCCTAGGGGGACCGGGAGGTGGAATCCACCTTACGGACCCCATACGCCGTGGTTCCAGCGCGCATGGGAGTGTGGGACTCCAGCTACATTCTAATAGACTGACTACCCACTAAACCACCTCATCTGGCTCACGACTACATCCGGTAGCACCACTTGTTGCGGCATGTCTTCAGATGCATTCGCAGCGGATATGCTCGTTTCTTCTGCTAGTGCAAGATATCGTCCCTGCGCTTTGCGTTCATCACATTACGAACGAACCTCTGTATTGTGTTCCAGTTCTCCTTACTTTTCATCATGAGTATGGTGATGCTTCTGCTATTGACCTCCGCACCGATAACTGACTCTGTATTGCTCCTCCATGCGGCCCATCTTTGACACACAAAGATTGTGTGCTCCGGGAGTCCTCCTCTCCGCAATAACCGCAGATGCTGCCCTCCGTGATTCCCATTCTTTTGGTGTAATCCCCAAATTATCCATGGCCCGATAGAAACTGGGTCAAGTAGAAGTCTAGCCTTCGATGTTTACAGCTAACCCACTGTCTT